AGGGATGAGACAGCGTGGTGCTTGCAGAGAAACAATCAGCGTGTTGATCATAATAGAGAGGGTAGTCCTTGGGGTTGGGGCTAGAGAGCTCCTGAGGAGCTGAGACATAGTGGACTCTGCCTTAAAAGGAGCTTGAACTTGAAGGTGATGGGAATTATTAAGGGTTTTGGACAGGGGTATTTTAGGCAGATGTGCCTTTTACATAGATCCTTCAAAGGGGGAAATACTGGAGGCCAGGAGATCAGTTCAGAGGCTACTGCGATAGTCCTAGCTGAGAAATGTGGAAGACACTAGTGGGACAAAAGAGGAATATTTAGGAATACTTAAGAGAAAAGAAATGAGTAATGTACCCCTCTGCAATTTACAGACTTAGACAATTCACTGTCATTTGTTAAACATTTCTTGTCTGAACCACATTTACATTCATATCTGTTACCTAAAGGGAGGGACACTGGGGAAAAAACAAAATTGTCTTTTAGTTCAATACAACATTCTAAAGAAAGGAATGGTTTTCAAAAAGTTTGTACCCTGGAACTCGATGTGTAGGACATAGAAGCAGGAATAGTTACACAGTCACTGTGAAAAAGACCCTGAGGCTAACACCAAGTCCCATTCTAATGAGGTTTTTCACCTTTACTTGTGCCATCAAAGATGGTTTTCAGTTCTCTGTTTCTCGCTTCCACATATCCACTTTTTCTTTAACAAATTAGCACCTAAGGTTTATTAATTCCCCCAACAGATGGTCCTGACACATACAAGTCTCACCATGAAAACGTTTGGATTTTTAATCAGGATGTGCTTTGCCCACGTGGATTCTCCCCAGCCTGCATAAATAGCTTGAGGCCTGAGGCATTTTAATGAGGCTCAGGGTGTCGAGCTCTTGGCAGTCATGAACTTCACCCTCCAGTCTCCCCAGCACTCCCCCTATGCTGCTCACTGCAAATTCCAGAAGCCAAGGAAAGAGATTGGGCTAAAATCCTTATGGGAAAGGATGTCTTGGCAAACCATGTTAATTCTGGTTCCACTGCTGTTAAGGCTCTGGGAGAAAGATGACTCTCCACCCTGTCCAGGTGGGAACCAATATCATGCCCTCCGCTTACATCAACCTGCCAATGACAGCATTTACCATTAAGTGAATGTTCAAATTCTGATTTGCCATGACAAAGCTAGTGAGAACAGTATAGACCACCCAAAATGAGCCACTTCGGAAATCCGACTCCTTTTACACAGCAATTTATATATAACTAGTCAGCCACATTATCAGCAAAAAGAGATCCAAGCCATAGCAGCCCAATGGTCAGCACACAGGTCTCCTGGTTACTTCCAGCCATGTTCTTGTTAGACATCTGTCTTCCTCTTCCTGATGTTATTGTAGGTCTTGATGATCTCTGCTGAATGTTGTTGAGTTCCTACTGTATGCAGGGTGCTGTGCTAAGGTTGACAGAAGGTTGAGGGTCCAATAAGCATTTATATTTCCTAAGGGTCAGGTACTGTCCTAGACCCTGCAGATAAAAAGATGCACTTCACATGAGCTCTAGCCTCCTGGAGCTGTCAGTCTAGCAGGGAGGCATCTCAACAGTTGACAGTAAATCCTACAATACAGTAGCTCCAAGAAAGGGGATGAGGCCAGAATGAAAGTCCAGAAGCAGGATCAATCAACCATGCTTTTGAAGGCTTCATGGAGGGGGTGATGTTGGATATGGGTTCCCAAAGAACGAGTGTGACTTCCACAAACCGAGAAGTGAGGAAGAAGTTCATAGTCCACTGGGGAGGCCACATGGGCTACTCTGTGTCACTCCTGACACAAGTATACCAAGGGCCAGATGGTGGTACCAGCTCAGGGAAGTGCAAGGAGCTGTCAGAGCCCAAGTGATTGCTGGCTGCTGAGGCTGAGGAAGGCATCTCTGAAGTGAGCACCACACTGAACAATGTAGAACTGGTCACAGTGGGTGTGGCACCTTTCTGTTCCAGCCTCCTAGGCAGAGGAGGTTCCCACAATGCAAGGCCTCCAGGCTCTGGTTTGAAAGAATGAAATTCTGCCATTTGCAACAACAGCTGCTGCAGAGTCTGGAGAAAATTATGTTAAGTGAGATAAGCAGACACAAAGAGAAATACTACATGTTCTCACTCGTAACTGGGTGCAAGGGAGGGAGGGTGGGAGGAAGGAAGGAAGGAAAAAAGAAAGAAAAGACCACAGTAGTACGTTGAACTTTTGGAAGAAGAGAAAAAAACCTAAGGACACTAGTGATGGGGGGAGGGAAGGGAGAGGGCTGGGGAGTGACAGGTCAGGGGGAGGGCACGGGGAACCATTACTGTTCGTAATGATGAATTTGCTAAAAATAAGAAATAATAATAATAAAAGATCAGGCAGGGAGCTCTAAGCCCTCTAAAAAGGGCAGTTTTTTGGGACAGGCCTTTTCTATCACTTACTCCTTCAACAGTTGGTTTTCAAAATTTGATATTCATAAGAATGACCCAGAGCAGCAGTTCTCAAAGTGTGGCCTGGAGACCAGTAGCATCGGCATCACCTGGAACTTGTTAGAAACGCACATTCTCAGACCCCTCCCAAGACCTACTTAATCAGAGGCCTAAGGAGATGGGGGCCCAGTCATCTGTGTTTTAATGAGCCTCCCAGATGCCTCTGCTGCATGCTCAAGTTTGAGAACACCTGACCTAAGGTGTTCATTAAAGCATAGATTCCTGAACACTATTCATAGACATTCTGGATCAATACAGCACCTCCGAGGACCTTGACTCCTCAGTCCCACCCCTAAGCAGGTTTCAGCTTTTCCCTGAAAGTCCCCTCCACATTCCTGGGGTCACTTGGGCCTGGTATTCAACTCCTTGCTACGCCATTACCTAACAACCTCTCTGAACCTCAGTGACTGCATCTGTAAAATGGGAGCAATAATACAGATGAGTCTAAGACACTGCAGGTTTGTCAGGATTAGAGATGACATGTGAAGTATCTGGAACAGCACCCAGACACTGGGAAATGATCAATAACT